CCACCCCACACACACACACACACACACACACACACACACACACACACACACACACACACACACACACACACACACACACACACACACACACACACACATGTCCACATGAGAGAGTGCCACCTGCTGGACCTGATCCCGATGACAGGGAACAGAAACTTGAGATACATGTTGATATGACAAAATGTACTCTACTGTAAGCTGTTATATCTAACTGGTCTCTTGAGGTTTCTACTACATCATGTACATGCTCACACACCACATGACTTCATTACAGTCACGTATTTTCAATATATTATCATGAGTGTCTATTTATTCATTATTTTATAACAAATAAATATTGGTTTAATACATTTTTTAAATTATGATATCATAGTGACATACACTTAGTAGTATTCTTGACAATTATATTACTAGATGTAATGGGACATTAATAAGCATTTATATTTGTAACTAATTGTCACAATAAATTCGCACATATGCATGAACTACTTTGTCGAAATATGTGTTGATATATATTTAGTTGATGCTTTATCTTGTTTATGGTTGCAGTCAAAAATCAACAAAGTAGAAAAAGACACACTAAAAGTTCTTGCAGTATTCCCATAGGAATAGTATAGGAATATCATGGTAACCCCGTTAAGCATAGGGGTAAGTGGGGCACACAAGTCAGCATTCATGGGCTGAGTAGACAAGCAAAGTCAAAAGATTAAAAGCATGCGGAAAATGGGTGCAGCCTTTAAACACAAAGACCCCTTACTGATCAACAGCTCCCCATCTTCCTTTAAAAGCCGCCCCCTCCCTCTGCCAACCCCCCTTTCTCTGGTCGAGGTGCATTGTGGGGAGGAAAGTCGTTGCCATTCGACCTCTGCGGGGCCTGCGCGGACGCAGCGAGAACCCTGAAATTCATTATGCGTTTAAAACCTTTATTTATTTCCGCATAACCTACATACTCTCACCGGGAGGGCCAAAGCGGGGAAAAGAAACGACGACGGTCCATCTCTTTCGGAAAATACATCGTTTACAACTATATATTTTGCGTAAGGGGGATACTGTTGAGAAGGGGAAGATTGTAATATATATTAAGAAAAATGTCCGGTGAGAGAAACCGCAGGTCGCTGGCTTTCCGAGGAGGTGGATTAGCTGGGTTAACGGCGTCCAGCGGTATCGGTGGGGGGAACTGTAACAGCTGGGAGGCCCCGACCTGTCAAGACCGACATTTTAACGGGAACGGGCCGGATCAAGAGGAGGACAGGGATCTCGGGGCTAAAGAATCGTCGCAGAAGAGAGCGGAGGGCGCTGGGTCTGTCAGCGATAGCACGGAACCCGAGGCGGAGGAGGAAGAGGACCCGGAAGAGGGCAGCTGGGCAGCCGGGGACGACCGTGTCGGCTCCGTGAAAGCGGAGGACGGGTCCAGGGAGGGGAACAGCTCGACAGAGGCGAACGGTGCCGGTGACAACGACGAAGGCACGGAGTCGGGAAGCGGTGCGACCGGGGGCGAGCCGGGCTCCAGGAAATCAGCAGTAGAGATGAGACCGCAGAAGTTGCTTCAGAAACACTCGGTATTCCATGCGTCGTGGTTGCAAGAATTTCCATGGCTAAAATTTTGCCAGGAGACTGGAGTCATGTCTTGCGCTTGGTGTCACAACATTGCCACTAAAAACAGCGACGAGCTTGTGAAAGGCAGTCGCAACTACAAGAGGGCCTTGCTGCTGAGACATCACCTGTCTTCTGAGCACGGCAGGAATGACCCCACCAAACAGGTAACGTTAGCTCCATGACGACTTAGCGTGACAACAAATACCTGTCACACATTGCTCATAACATATGTCTTAAAAAGTGTTGTTTGTCAGTATTTAGCGTCAGTTTCCACAACTTCTGAAACAAAACGAAGGCGAAAATACTTAAGCTTCACAATCCCTTCTCCCGGCTGATTAGCTAGCGTCAGCCTGCTAACCTGAGCTAACCACTAGCCTAGCCGGTTAGCCGCTTGAAGCTTCGCTGTGCAGCCGGAGGTAGAGGGGCAGACACTGTAGTGGAAAGCCCCTGGAGAAGTTAATGTCGACTAATGAATGGCGAAACACACAAACACATTTTTAGCGTGAGTGACACGGATGTCAGTGTCTGCCTACTCATCAGTCAAGTGACACGCACAAACCTGCTCCACTGACACCTGCTACACTGGAGGCTGTTTCCTTAGAATGGAGAATTAGTAACAAGTCACACAACAACAACTTTAAGTCATTTCGAAATCACTAAAGAGTCAGCAACAGCTAATGGAGAGTGTTGGTCGTATTATACGCTTGTGTTTTTGTTGTACACACTGTACAACAAACCCTTTTGTTTCATCAGCAGCTGCCTTGATTGCTACTAGCTTGCTAAAGGTCACAAAATGGCAAGGGCTCGACCCTAGCAGCCTTTGGGGAACCGCACCCCTTCCCAACCCCCTTCCTCTCCGCCTCTCATCAGGCAGTTCTGCTGGCTCGCAGTCCCGGGTGACCTATGGCGCATTTCTTCCTCCTCCTCCACCTCCTCCTCCCTTTGGGGAGCTAAATTAGAGGCATTGTGCTAAAATGACCCCCCAAAATCCATAGATGGTGTCACTTGCAGGGCTGGACAAGAGCAGGAGAGTAAATCATGTAGCCTGGAGCCTGACAGCATGCATGGCCCTTTTATGAATAGACTTGAATGGGTAAAATAGATGTCAGTAAATAGAATGACATGGCATCACCTGACCCTGTCATCCACATATTTGTGAATTAATGGGCATTAATGTTATACCTTTGGGGCATATCTTATGATTTAAGACACCATCACATATGCACAAGACTTAAACTGTATTGGGAAAGTGGCCCTCTTTACTTAATTGGCATATAAAGACCACATGGTTAGCCTAAGCTTAAGGTAGGTATAAACTTAGTGACAGTATTTGTTTGCTTAGAATCAAAATCAACTGCACAATTTTGGTGAACTATGTCTTTATTGATGTGCATGACGTCTTTTTATTGGTTAATTATTTGTATTGCCGTGTAGCCAACATTCTGGTACTCCTTAAGAGACCTCATAAAAACTGGGAGTGCATATTTGCCCGAACAATCTGGTGTCAAAGGGCATTTCTCCCATCAATCCTTATTCTGGAACGTATTATCACTTTCTGTTTCTTCTATATTTCCACATCCGATTTCCTATCCTGACATTGGTTTGAGCTGTCAGGGGAATTAAGAGCGGGTGCTGTTTGACTCTGATTTGTGAGCAGAGCGGATTGTACTACTACATTTAGTTCCTTGCTTTGCACACGCTATCACTAATCAGAATGACTTAAAGTGATCCACTAACTTGTACACATCTCTGATTCGTAATGAGGGCAGTAAGTGTGGATTAGGGGCTTGGTGTGGCGTTTCCCTAGCAACAAGGACCCCTGACACTGCACTGAGAGGTTATCCAGGTCATTTCTTCAAGTAGAATAGAGCTGGGACGATGCAGTCCCCAGGCCACATTATGAGATAATTTCATTCTGATTTTTTTATTAAATTATATTTTAGGGTTCCTCAGATTAGATTTTTTTTCTAATGACTGACTTTTGAGTAAAGCCATACTCGCTCTTATACAGTACTGTTGAAAATAATAGCGGCTGTGTATGTTTAGTAAGGTAGCATTGTGCGGCAGTACATTAAAAAGGACTGATGGTGTTATAAGGCAACGTTTTTTTCTATTCACCCATTCCTGACGTTAGTCAGGCCTCTGCTGCATTCGTTAAACCTAACTCGATTACCCCTAGCACACCAGGGCAGCTGTGGTAAATGTGGGTCTCCTTGTAAAAGGGGGCTGTTCTCGACCCTGTCTTGTGCTCAGATTATTCCCTATGCTCACTGGTAAAAGGTTAAGACTGGCCAAAAGTAATGCATTTCCCCGTAAATCAAATATGAGATCACGGATCCGGGACCTTAAAGAGTTTCATTTATTCTCTAGTAACTGTGTGTTCCTTTTGTTCAAAAATTGGTAAAAGGGTGTGTTTGTGTGTCTGTCTCTGTTAAACCCACATTGGTTGTTGCAGAGTAATCCCCTGTCGCCACCATCTACAGAGACAATAATCTACAATCATATTTTCTTGTGGAGTTCTCTCCACACACAGCCTTTCCATAAATCCCCTCTTTGTTTCTTACTCAACTATTGCTTTCTTGTCTCCCTTTATCATTCTTTGTGAGAATGTCAATAACAAATTAAATGTCCAATTCTAAGATGTTTGTTAACCGAACCCTTACAGTCAACCCAGACCAGGATGAGGCTCCTGAAGCCATGTCTGTTGATCAGCGTAGCCTCATTCAGTTTGACGGCCAAACAAATGTTTTACCTGCATCACTGTGTTGGTCTAAATGGGGTGTAAGATAAGATAAGTGTTTATCCCAGGGGGGAATTAAAAAATGTCTACCAAAGTCATTACAACCTCATTTTAGTTGAGATAACACCAGACTCATTGTTAAGAGTGAGTCACCCCGAACGGGAAAGGGGACCCACCCTTTGCAGTCTTGAGTTCAACAGATAGATGGGATGTTTATTGGGGGCCATAGGTCAAGGAAAAGGGGTGGGGTGGAGCCAGAGGGAAAATTCTTCATGTTGAAACTGCCAGTGACTCTACCCTCCCCTCGTTTTCTTCCCCCCCCCCCCCTTATCTCTGCCTCTTCTGTCAGAGCATTGTTAGGAGGCCGGGAGACACTCAGTGCAGCCCTCCCACACCTTGGGCCGAACACACACTGCAGTATTGTTCTAGCATCTGGGGACAGACGGGTTTGGGTGAAGAGGGGTGGGTCGGGGGGTTAGGGAAGGATACAGTAGATGAGTTAGGGGAAAGACCGGCGGAGATGGCCTCAGGGCTGGGCTGGTCATGGGACTGGATTGATGGTGGTCGGGGGTAGACAAATGCGGGGATGGAGGCAAACATGTAAGGTAAACAAAAACTGGCTCCGGTGGTTCATTATGTTGAATGGGCGCAGTGCTGTATCACATGATCTGTAATTAGTCTGGCTGAGGCGAGCCCTTCAATAAGCTTGACTTTATGACCATCTTGATGATGTTTAATCCACCTGTAAATCAGTTGTTATCGGCCATTCACGGTAGATTTTTAAGCGTCCATGTATCTAGATCAAAGGATTTTTCTTTCCCAGAGCCCTCTTGGATTCTTTTTGCACTCTCATTCTTCCACCGCTACCAATTCTGGCTCAAATAAAAACCTAGCCACGTCACAACGGGGGAGGTTGATATTGTCCCCACATTCTCTCTTGGCTCAGGCTGGTTTTGCCTCCAGCATCTGCTCTGCAGGGTCGGTCTGCTGGTTCTCTAAGCTCCCTGCTCACACGTGGCACATCTGGAGAAAGGATGATGATGATGATGCTGCTGCTGCTGATGAGGCCAGTATGGAGCAACTTATCCAGTACCAGGCTGTCCTAGCCTGACTCCAACACACACACACACAACTCCTATCAGAACTGCCAGGCAGAGTCTTACCTCTCTGGCCCAATGCCTTGCTATGTGTAATGGATAAAAGCTGTGGGGAATCTTGGGGTTTGGGGGTGGGATGGCCAGTAAGTTGGAAAGATAAAACACATCTGTAAATTCCAAGGTACTCTTGAGTCTGAGAAGCGCTTGTTTATTTATTGCATTTCTAACATATAGTCTCTTTTTTTTTTTCTTCTATTCAACCCTCCCCATCTTCTAACTTTATTTGCCGGCTTGCTCAGCAAATTGAAAGCCCTTTTTTTTTCTCAACAAATGAAAAAGAAAAAGCACTGGACGAAAACGAAGCAGCAAAAACTAAATTCATTGTAGATTGGATGCTCATCCAACACCTCTTGTTGTGATAGCACTCCTGCCCTTCCCCACACCAATCTATTCCACCACAGTACTCAGCATGATGACCATGCCTCTCCAGAGGCTTTGATGTGTATATCATGGAATAATTGTTCTCCTCTCTCCCCATCCTCTTCGCCTCACCCACACGCTCTCTGGCTCCTTTCTATGCCTGCGAGTGGGAGCTGCTGTGTAATAAGAGAGTGAGTGCCGAAACCTTTCACAAAGGCCTACAGTGAGTGGACAATGAGCCTCGGGGAGAACACGGGCTATTGTGAAGGCTAAAATGGGGTGACCCAACTCCTTCTCTCTAGCGCACTGGTTTTCCGTCCCCCTCTGCTCCACATTTTCTCCTCCGCCCTTTTTTTCGAGGCTCAAGGTCTCGCTCTCTCAATCTCTGCCTCATGCTCTTGCTTGCTTTTCGTTGTGCCCGTTATCAGGCTCCTTTTCTTTTATGTTACGACCGTCACCATTTCTCATCTTCTTTTCACACTTATTTGCATCAACTCGTTGCCAGAATTCTACAATTCTGCTCTCGTGTCCTTTTATTATTTCTGTCTTCTTCATTTCTTCTAGCCAGCAAAGTATGTCCACTTTCCCCCCTCCCAATCCCTCCCTCATTCTGCCTCTGATTTTAGTCCATCCTATCTCTTCATCTCTCCCCTCCAGCTGTGGCAGAGGATGATAAGCCCCCCTATACTATCCTGTGTGCCCAGGCTGCCCTGGACAAGCACTGCAGTGTGGAGGGAGTAGGGGTGGGGGCTGGGTGGGGACCTCAGAGAAATGGATTTAATCTGAATTACTCGAGCTGAAACCCCAGCTGTGTGTATGTGTAGGCAGCTTGGTTTCTGTGTAGTTGTGTGTGTGTGTGTGTGAGTGTACATGCATGTGTGCGCAGCAGAGATGGTGGTAGGCGGGGGCAAAAATGCAAGGCTCGAGCAATGTGAATTATTCTGGATTAGGACATCTGCTGTGCAATTCTAAAAGTGTGTGTGTGTGTGTGTGTGTGTGTGTGTGTGTGTGTGTGTGTGTGTGTGTGTGTGTGTGTGTGTGTGTGTGTGTGTGTGTGTGTGTGTGTGTGTGTGTGTGATATTTTGGCTGTTTATTATGTATGTGTGCATATGTACAAGTATACATACACATGTAAATACTCCCCTCTTCTCCGTACCAGTCTGGCCCTTTGCCCTGCTATGAGGGGGGAGGGGGGCTGTTACAGGGCAGTTCTATGCTTCTGCCAGTTCCCCTCCCATCCTACAGCCACGTCGTGTCCTGCTTTACACACTGGGCGGCCCTTCCTTCAGGACCAATAATGGCCTGTTTTACATCTAGCTTGCAAATTGAAGAGAAAGATATAGAAAGTGTGTAAAGTCTTCTTACACATCTACTGGAGTTGATAAACAAAGCAGCGTTGAAGTATTCATTTACGATTACAAAATAAATATCTAACTCCAGTGTTACTACAAATGGAGGTTAAATGAATGCTTCTGAAACATTTATAATACTTGCTTTGAATGAAATACAATTAATAAAAGTTGATTTTCAACTCTGTAAGAGGGGAATTCTAATGGAGAGTGATCTTCAAGATGATGTCTCCTGCTTTTCACTTTGCTTGGTGATGTCATTTTTGTTTTGCCTTGGACTTCTAAACAAAAGCAGGTGCAAAAGTGGTATCTTGTTGAGGTCTTTTTATTAAAGCATAAATGGAATAAAAATATTCCATCTACCTAAAACTAAACCAAAAACGATGTTGTCTTTTTAAGTTTTCACTGTTGTTTTAAACATTTGATTTACTGAATATTTTCACCCTCCTATCACAATATCCGTGCTCTCAGCTTAAGTTTTACTACAAAAGGAAAATACTTTTCCCTTTTTTATATGTTAAATTACAGTCTTTATTATAATATTATCTGGCATTGTGTTATTTTTTGGTTAGGGCTTGATATTAAATAGCTTATAGGGGTAGGTAATATTACCCTGCCAAACGGCAACACACCTTCCATTGCCTCTTTCCCACCCCCTCCGTAACAAGAGCCTGTCGAACCTGTTTCCCCCACTGGGCAGGTGCCACACCGCGAGCCCAGAGGGTGTGTGTCTGTTCCTGTTTATAGTACAGACAGAATTTCAGGAAGGGCAAATATTTTTTGCAAGTTTGTTTGTTTGTTATTGCTTGCTTTTGCTCATTTGTGAGAACACGTATTAAATGTGTTTTTCTCTTTTTTTCCTTCTCTTTCATGTTAATAGGAGACAATGAGGCCCTCGGACAACGGCAGCCCCTCCAATCACTGCTCAGAGGACGACTACCGCCTCAAGCCCGACGAGAACTCCTACTGTTACCAGCTGCTCCAGGAGCTGGACAAGCAACGCAAAAATGGCATCCTCTGCGACGTAAACATAAACGTCTCGGGCCAGGTGTTCCGCGCACACAAGAACATCCTGGTTGCGGGCAGCCGCTACTTCAAAACCCTCTACTGTCTGACCAAGAGCGAGGCCCAGGACCAGGCCTCGACCACGCACCTGGATGTTGCTGCCGTGCAGGGCTTCTCAGTCATCCTCGACTTTCTCTACTCTGGGAATCTGCTGCTCACAAGCCAAAATGCCATTGAGGTGATGTCTGTCGCCAGTTACCTCCAGATGACAGAGGTCGTACATTCATGCAGGGCTTTTATAAAGGATGCCCTGAATATCAGCATCAAGCAGGAGGCTCCTGATTCAGTGGTGGTGGACTACAACAAGAGGCAGACGGTGTCCAAAGACGGACAGAGAAGCCTGGACCGCAAGCCAAGCAACTTCTGGGCCACAAGCATCCTGTCAAAGCTGTCGATCAAGGCCAGCAACAATCAAGGAAAGGAATCAATGGAAGACGAAGACACAGGTGGCAGGGTAAAGGAGGAGTCCAGTGACATAGAGGTGACCGTGGTTGGGAGTGAGGGCTGTGCCCTGGTGACCCCCGGAGCCTCTGGTAACTGGAGCCACCACAACGACAACTCGTCTGATTCAGGAGAGACCAATGACCCACGGTCGGCCAGAGGACAGGTCTTCATCTGGAACGAGCCGGTCACAGGTGGCGCTGCAGGAGCCTCCGCATCAATCAAACAAGAAGCCCCGGATTCAGCGGCAGGAAGCGGGCGGAGGAAAAAACAGACCACCACACGCCGTTTTGTGTACAACTTTCCTCCAGAGCCTGAAGAGGGATTTGAAGAGGGGATGTTCCTCCAGCCCTCTGCCTCCTTCCCGAGAGAGGACTTCTCCTCCCTCTCCGAGAATGCAGGTATGAGACACATTTGTAGCTCTAAACACACTTCATATCCTCACAACGGCCAGTCCTTTCCCCTATGATATATAAATAGATTTCACCGTTACCTCATGAATTTCTTATTGCTATCAGTCATACTGTACAGGACTGTCTCAGAAAATTAGAATATTGTGATAAAGTTCTTTATTTTCTGTAATGCAATTTAAAAAAACAAAAATGTCATACATTCTGGATTCATTACAAATCAACTGAAATATTGCAAGCCTTTTATTATTTTAATATTGCTGATTATGGCATACAGCTTAAGAAAACTCAAAAATCCTATCTCAAAAAATTAGAATAGTTCCTCAGACCAAGTAAAAAAAAAAGATTTATAACAGCAAAACACAATCAAACATTTGAAAATGTCCATTAATGCACTCAGTACTTGGTTGGGAATCCTTTTGCACGGATTACTGCATCAATGCGGCGTGGCATGGAGGCAATCAGCCTGTGGCATTGCTGAGGTGTTATGGATGCCCAGGATGCTTCAATAGCGGCCTTTAGCTCATTAGCATTGTTGGGTCTGGTGTCTTTCAGCTTCTTCTTCACAATACCCCACATATTCTCTATGGGGTTCAGGTCAGGGGAATTTGCAGGCCAATCGAGGACAGTAATGCCATGGTCAGTACACCAGTTACTGGTGGTTTTGGCACTGTGGGCAGGTGCCAGAATGCTGGAAAATGAATTCCTCATCTCCATAGAGCTTTTCAGCGACGGAAGCATGTAGTGCTCTAAAATCTCTTGTACACGCCGCATTTACTCTGGGCTTGATGAAACACAGTGGACCAACACCGCAGCTGACATGGCTCCCCAAACCATCGCTGACTGTGGGAACTTCAAACTGGATTTCAAGCAACTTGGCTTGCTCCCCAAACCATCGCTGACTGTGGGAACTTCAAACTGGATTTCAAGCAACTTGGATTTTGCTCCTCTCCAGCCTTTCTCCAGACTCTGGCGCCTTGACTTCCAAATGAAATACAAAACTTGCTTTCGTCTGAAAAGAGGACTTTGGACCACTGTGCAACTGTCCAGTGCTTCTTTTCCTTAGCCCAAGTCAGACGCCTCTTCCGTTGTCTTGAGTTCAGAAGTGGCTTGACCATGGGAATACGGCTATTGTAGCCCATTTCCCGGACACGTCTGTGAACAGTGACTTTTGATACCTGGACTCCAGCTTCAGTCCACTGTCTTTGAAGCTCCCCCAAATTCTGGAAGCGACTCTTCTTCACAATGCTGTTAAGGCTGCGGTCATCTCTCTTGGTTGTGCAGCGTTTCCTGCCACATTTCCCCCTTCCAACAGACTTTTTGTGGATGTGCTTTGAAACTGCACTCTGTGAACAGCTTGCTCTTTGAGAAATTTCTTTTTGTGTCTTACCCTCCTGATGGAGGGTGTCAATGACGGTCCTCTGGACAGCAGTCAGATCAGCAGTCTTCCCCATACTTGTGATTTAGTTTACTGAACCAAGCTGAGTGTTTTTCAAGGCTCAGGAAACCCTTGCAGGTGTTTCGAGTTAATTAGACGATTCAAGTGATTCGTTGAACACCCTACTAGTATACTTTTTCATGATATTCTAATATTTAGAGATAGGATATTTGAGTTTTCTTAAGCTGTATGCCATAATCAGCAATATTAAAATAATAAAAGGCTTGCAATATTTCAGTTGATTTGTAATGAATCCAGAATGTATGACATTTTTGTTTTTTTAATTGCATTACAGAAAATAAAGAACTTTATCACAATATTCTAATTTTCTGAGACAGTCCTGTATACTCACTGTAGGTCAAAGGAACAAGCTCCCTTTATGAGGTAGGGAGGTGCATGCAGAATGTGACATATTATCATTTGTAGGGCTGAACTAAGTGCTTCAAAGTTAGATAAATAATGCTGACCTGAAAAACTTCATTTGAATGCTTCTCTTTTATTTGCACGTCTATTCATTGTGTTTGGACATTGTTTAGAGAATCTACAATACTGCAAATACATTTATGACAATGGCTTGGGGAACACTAAACAAATAAAACAAAGTTGTGAGGGACAGATTATATAAATACTCAGCTAAAAAATTGGAATCAACCAATATAAGCTAGTTGGAAAATGTAACCAGTTGGGTCAGCTAGCATCACTAACTAGCTTCTGCTTGCCCCCTCCCCCCCTCCCCCCACCACCAGTTTAACCTCTAAACACTAAGATTACCGTGACATTCAGTTTCTCCTTGTCCCAACATTCACTTGAAGCTAAATGATGCTCACATAAACTATCTATGTTTGAATTCTGTATTTAAAATGGAATTCGGTAGGTTTTGAAAAATTCCTGCGATTTAATGATTAACCTCCGGGGGGGTCAGTAGGGCTGAAGAGGATAACCCTGAAGTTCATATGGCTTTAGTATTTGATCCTCTTTTTGCAAGCCTGGAAAATGTGGTATAATTATGCTCATAAAGATCACACCTTTGTATGACTTTTGAATATGAAAGATCTATCACCAGTAAGGGTCGTATCGATTTCGTGCTAAAAGCTAATCTTTGGCCACCCGTCGGTAACACAGGCGCGGTCACTAGTTTTCATGATCAAATAATTGATCAAAACACCAAAAGTATAGATTTCCACCCCTTCCATTCATTCCCTGCTGTGACCCCTAACAGGATAGTTGCTTATCTAGCTTTTAACCTGCTGTGCAGAGCCAAGACTTGAGTAACTCCCCCCATGATCCTTTAATCACCCCAGAGCAGGGGGCTTAGCAACGTGACGCCCACCTGGAGTGCTTTGTCTCAGAGGTGTGTTGCCACATCGCTGCTGAGACTGCTTCTGATGAAAAGAAGAGAGATTTGATAAGATTAAGTGCAATGCAATGATGTTGAAGCTATGTTATGGTTCAGATGGGTAATGTGTATCTATAAAATCACAAAAAAGTAGATATTTAACGGGATTAGGGGATGGAACTATCCTCAAAATACCACTTTATATGATGTGGTTGGCAATAATATTAAATCCAATATCTTTCTTGATAAAACTTTTGCACCCGTTGATCTTCTCCCTTTCTGTTGACCTTTTGATACCTTGTTCTTTTACCTTAATCTATGCATCACTATCCACATACAGTGTAGCGCTCTTATTTGACAGTAATCTCTTCTCATAGCTGCTGCCTTCTCCTTCTGTTGGCCCCATTAAGCATGGCGCTCCATAATGATATCACATATTAAGTGAAGTGGTATGGATCGGGGGGAGGGGAGCTGATGTGTGAGGAGCAGGGTGTGTGTAGAAAGTGTGAGAGATCTACATTTTGTATGAGAGAAAGAGAGAGACTCCCTAATGCAGGGAAATGAAGAAGCCTCCCTAACTGCACTTGAAGGCTGTTAGTGCCTCCAACTCCTCCTATGGTTCTTTTTAATGTGTGCACAAAGTGATCCAGGGTGTTGTAATAGCCTAAAGAGACTTAAAGACTGTTTGTCTGCATGTGTGCTAACTCTCGTCCCTTCTCCTCCTCATGTGTCTTTGCTGTTAAGCTCCGCGTCTCTCCTTAATGTATACTATGTTTCCAAATAAAGATATGGTTAGGACTTCAAGTAGGCTGTTAGTCACAGTAAAAGGTTTCAAGGAAACTGTTTACCCTTAAATGATAGTTTTGTGCTCAGCAGACCATTCATTCATACAGTATACTCTATGTTAAGAGTTTAAAAATAGATCTGCGCATATTTAGTCTCTATAAGGGCTTAAAATCTAGGATTTGATGCAGAAACACATTCTGCTGATGCAGTGTAGTGTCAGAGTGACAGGAGGGCCTTTTGCCCTTTTGGACCTTATCAAAAAAAGTACATTATTTCAGGGCCCTCTACTACTATCTATTGTGTTTAGAGCTTTTAGGTTCCCCTTTTTAAAAGCAATGTTCACAAAAGGCTCTGTGTTGCTAGTTTTTTTTTCAGTTTCTCTTTTCCACATTTTTGACTGACTGGCTTTTTGAAAGTGAATTCTTTAACACTTTTGCTCTCGATTTGTTAAGGCAAGGTGAGATGGAGGGAACTATCAGAACAAATATGTAATATGCCAGCCTATTTAATTTCTTTTGTATCTAACTTTTTAGAGTCATAACACTATTTAGTCAAGCTTTTAAGTTGACAGTTTTTAATTTTATGTGTGTGTGTGTGTGTTGGGAGATGGCCCTGTGGGCCATCTAAGCTAATTTACAGATGGCCCTGAGCCCAATAGAGATTGCCCTGAAAAATGCGCGCGGACGAAATGACGCTTTTCAGTTGCGCCACTTATGTGACAGACAAGAAGAGTATGTGACAGACAAGAGTAATCCATTCTAGTAATGTGTAACACTTAATGTGGAGAAAGAGATGTGCTGTATGGGTTGATTGTGCGTTGATTTGTTGGTAATGCCTCAGGGTTCCGGTAGGCATGTAAACAAATGCATAATGCTGCGCTATACTTTGTGGCCTCACCCGGTTGCATAGCGACACTTATTGTTTAGGTCACGGTGTCTTTTAATAAGCAGGTAGTCATATCATTAGCTAGAACTAGCTGGATCTGATCGATATGGACATAAACGCGAGTAAAGTCTAATCTGACGGGAGAGAGAGAGAGATCAGCTGCTGCTGACGAGTCGACACGCAGCTCTGCATGATCACATGCAGCGGTGAGCGGACAAAACACACACTTCAGGTTAGAATATCACACGTAGCTATTTTAATCACCTCTCAAACTACCTAAACTAGTTATAGATATGTTTAGTTTTACTGTCGGGTCACTCATTACTGGATCTGCGAGCTGCATGATACTGGTATAATAGGTGTGTGTGTGTGTGTGTGTGTGTGTGTGTGTGTGTGTGTGTGTGTGTGTGTGTGTGTGTGTGTGTGTGTGTGTGTGTGTGTGTGTGTGTGTTTTGTTCCCACAGCCTCTCTGTGCTGTCTAGGCTTGATTAGTCTTGTGTTTTGCACACTGCTCATTTGAAGTGACTCGCTCTAGATATCTGTGTCACATGATATCTAAAATATTAGTTACGCTTTACTGAAATATTGCTTTACAAAGCAAAAATGAGTGTGTCCAATGGTTAGCCTTATCTGCTGTGGGTTATTAGATTAGTCTTGGCTGGCTTGCATATTTTTGACCGAGCCTAGGAGCAGTCATCCACCAATATTAGCTGTCCCAGTTTGCCTCAGTGATGTAAACCATTTGGGTTTCATTTAGCCTCAGTTTGATCTGTGTGGTCATGTGCCAAGAATGGAAACGCAGTCTCCCAAATGGTGGTAATCTCTCTGCTGTTGCGTATCTTCCCTTTTTAAATAATTTTTGCTTTTTAATTTTTCTCTTTTTTATAAGGTGGCTGTTTCCTAATTGGATATAGTCTTGGCAAATGGCAAAAAAAAAACTAAACCCAAACATGTTCAGTTTATAACTTAAACATTTGGGAGAAAAAGCACAGAATGATGTTGTTTAAGAGACTTTAACCATGAAACACATAGCTTTTTGCAGGGAAAATGTCTGAAACCATTGGAGGTAGATGGTTTACAGATTGACATGAAAGCTAGTGTTGTGTGGAAAATAGCAGCTGAAAGTGAAGGCTGGTTGGAAGGATATAAGTACTTTGCCATCGCTGTCTGCTTTTGCATCGCTGAGCCTCACAGCTCATGGCCAATAAATTCTTGGGTCTTCTCCAAACAACACTGTTGGATTGTTGTAAAGGGTGCGTGCTGCACACAGAGCAGGTGAAATGCATTTGCATACACACACTAGTCGCTGTTGAAGCGTGCACACAAATGCACAATAACTTACCAAATCCATACGAGGTGCAAAGCTAACAGGGGCACTCCCTCCCCTCCCTAATCCACTCTAATGCACTGGGACTGTCCTCACTATTCCAAATATTGACCTGGGTAGAATGGACACGCACACACACACACACACACACACACACACACACACACACACACTCTGACACACAGGGGCGTGTCTTTAATGGGCTCTAAGCTGGAGGAACAGGACACACACAGGTGCTCTCACACAAGTGCTTTCAAAAGCTGGGTGTAAGCTGAGCTGGTGTGAGGGGCAGACTCTCATTAACCCCCTCCCCGCTGGAGCCCGGGTTACACCATCAGTTTGTTCTCTGGCCAGGGGAGCACACTGTTTTACATATAGTAGGGACCTGTGTGTTTGTGTGTGTGCTGACCTATGTGGTTAACTGAAACTTCCTTTGTTTCACGTGGGGGGTTTGGTTAGTTGTGTACACAAGGCGTTGTGAGGTGTGCAACCCCCCCATCCAGGCTCTCACCCACCTCTCCTCTCTTTCTCCCTCTCGCTTCTCTTGTCCCCCCCCTCCCCCTTTCCCAGAGCTGGCCAATCAGATCCAGTATAGCATCATCCAGGACTTACAGCAAGGGGAGTCCTGGGAGAATGGTAAGACGCCGCACTCGCTAGACTACCAATAAAAAAAACTAAACTAAAGAAACGGTTTCAACGCAACTTGAAAAGTTTAACTTAAATGCATCTTCCTAATTGAGTGTGGGCAGTCGAGTCAATAGTTATTTCTATTTAATTGTTGTGTCAAAATGACATGCTCATGTCAGTGTCTTTACAAACTGTACAGGTATGAATGAAGTCAATTGTATTAATTTAGCTCAGAAAATACTAATCAGTTTCAAACTGGCGGTGGAGTAGCCAGCCATTGTCTAAAGTACACAAAGCTATGCAGCCTAATGCCATACATCGCACTGATAATAAGTATGTATGCAGTGTGTAAAGATTGCAGTGTCGAAAAGTTAATGTATGCTTTCAAAAAAAACACACCAGTGCTGTTGGACACTTGCTTTCCACAATGCATAGGGAATGAAAGAGACATTCTTATTATTTGTGGTAGAAGAGTATCTGGGTGATTAGCTGCTTTCACACCAAGTACTTAGCCGGTACTTGTCCCCGGTACTTGTCCCCGGTACTTGTTCCCCCCGAACTCTTTAGTCCCTCCAACTGTTCTAGTAGATCGCGTTCTCACCGGAATAAGTCCCTGACGGAGGATTAGACAAATGAAGCCACTGACGTCGCTTCTTCTTCTGCTTTGGGTTCACAAAACTTTTCCGAGTTTTACGGGGCGTGGTTTGCAATTCGCCCAGCCAATCAGAAATTGTTAGGTTCACGCGAACTAGGGACTAGTTCCAGGTCCTTTTTGATGTGAAATCCACC